ATGGGGACGGACACAACATGGATCGGGACGGAGTGGAGATGGGATAAGGGATCCATCCCGACACACAGCTGCGCGGAGGTGACCTGCAGGGGCCTGGCTGGGAGCAAGGGTGGGCAGCTGAGCGTAAAGCCTGGGTGGGCAGCACAGCCAGAGGGACGGCAGTGGCCTCTTAGCTGGAGACCGTGGCGACCGCCGTCTCCTCAAAGACCCTCCGGAAGGCGACCTGGAGGGACACCAGAGAACAGCGCCTCCAGTAGCTCCCTACCAGGAAGTAGATGAAGGGGTTGGTGCTACTGTTGATGCAGGCAAGCAGGAAAGCAATCTGGCTGGACACAAAGGAGTAGTTGAGCTGATTCAGGAGATGGAAGAGGCTGAGAGGAACCCCAAAGATGAGGAAGAAGAGGACAGTGAGGAAGATAACGATGTAGAGCCTCTTAGGTTGACGTCTCTTGGAGCCACAGTGGACCTTAATGAACAGGATCACGTTGGAGATGACCATGGGTGGGGCAAAGATGAGGAAGTTGAGGACAAACATGGAGATGAGAGACATCTGGCAAAGCTCATCCTTGTGTGCCAGGCATGGGGAAGTCACCATGGCAATGACAGCGACAGAGAGGACCCAGAGCAGGGCACACATCACCCCTGACAGGTGCTGGGGGCGGTGGCACCGGTACCAGAGCGGGCAGAGGATGGACCCACACCTCTCGATGCTGATGGCTGTCAGCAGGTACAGCCCCATGTTGTGGGAGAACAGTGACAGCAGGAGGAACGACCTCAGGTACTCCAGGGACACGGCAGTGGAGCAGGAGGCATTGTCCACCATGTAGAGGAGGGATGAGGTGATGACGAAGAGGAGGAAGGTGAAATCAGCTACGGCCAGGTTGAGGATGTAGACGGTGATGGGGTTCCTGCGGATGTGGAAGCCGAGGAGCCAGAGGACAGCCCCATTCCCCACCAGCCCACAGAGGCCAATGAGCAGGGTGACACCATCTATGGCCACGTCAGTGATGTCTATCCCGCACTGGTTGTCTTCTTCGGTGTCCGTCACGGCAGATGTGGGAGGTGGGGATGTCTGATTCAGCTCCATGGTGGAAGGTGGGACGTGGTCCCTGGCTGTGGTCAGAGCGGGCAGGGAGTTAGTGGGACCCAGGGGATGTGACAGGGACAGGGGTCCTGGTGATGTGGCAAAGCAGGACTGGGGATGGGGCGATAGGAGGGCTGAGGGTGGGGGTGGAGGGAGGGTTGGAGGGGCTCCCGTCCCCCCCAATTAAGGACACCCATGGGAGCAGTGAGGGGGCTGTGGGGAGATCTAAGAAGACACCCCCAGGGCTGGACTCTGGTCCCGACCCCTTCCCTTTCCCTGCAGCAGCCCAGAGCTGACCTGCCTGTGCGTCTGAGCTCTCCTTGCCACAGTCTTCTCCGATGAGGAGGTGTGGGGTGTCCACGTCCTCAGAAGCTCCGAGCAGCCCGTCTCTCCCCAAATAAAGCTGCTTTTGGGGGCGTTTCTGCACAATCACAGGTCAGGCAGTGAGAGCACTGGGCAGTTGCACACAGGCTGTCTTTTCTCCCATCAAATTTCTGTTGGTCTTGCGGGAAAGGAAATGTTTTGTCCGAGTGAATACCCCAGAGGACGAACACTGCAGCAGTTAGATGTGAAAGAATCTCGATGCTTTTAGGATTCAACCTGATAGCTCATTAGACTGGTAATTACCACCTTCCTAATTGTTTTATGGTGCTCCAGTCTCCTCTCCCCATCCTGCCCCAATGCTGGCATCCTTCTGAGATTGTTCATTACTGCATGCATTTGCCTTCCAGCCTCCCGGCATGAGAATCCCTGATGTATCTCCTCCAACTTCATCCTGCATCAGGCCTGGGTGAGAGAATTTAGAATTTGGTGCTCCTGCCATCAGTTTGGACTCACCCCAACTGGTCTGGGGGCTCCAGAGCTCTCCTGGACTGATTGGTACCCAGTGAGCCCAGAGGGCCTGGTGGCAGAGGAGCTACAGGGCTGCAGGAATGTCAGGGAACAGCACACATGATTCCCCCATCCCTCTCTGCACCCCTAGACCAGAAGCACCCATTTACTCCCGCAGGGTTTTGGGGTGGCAGAAGAGGGCACTGACTGGAGGGGAGGTGGTCTTGGGGAGCTCCAAGCAGGGATATGGGGGGACATTATCTCTCCTTCCTTCTCAAAGCAGCACTGGCTGCCCCATGTCCCCTTCAGCCACTGAACCCCTTATACCGGTGGGAGGACATGCCAGAGGCTGGACAAAGCACCTCGAGTGCCAGGTGCCCTCTGCTCTGCCAGCAAGGGCAGAAAGCTGCTTTTTTGACTCATTAAACCTGCTAATTGCTGCCAGGACTGCTGATACCCCCGAGGGGCTCACCTGGGGCACCCACCACAGGGCTGGGGAGCTTGCAGGAACAGACACCACATGGGGCTCCCCAGAGACCATCCTACGTCCCCAAACCCTCATGTCCAGGCACACTCTGAGCCCTGCAAGCAGCACCAAGGAGTCCCCAACCCAGAGGGGTGGGCAAGGGCTGCTGTGGGTAATACAGAGTGGTCAGTGGGGGCCACCCCCAGCACCATCTGTGCTGGTTTGGGATATCCCCAAGCAAAGTGGGATGTCATGGCCTGTCCCCACCGGTGTGTTGGGGTCACCAGGAAAAGATGGGGGGCTGGGAGCTGCCCCCCTCTGGTGCTGAGCCGGGCACCAGAGACTGCTGGTAGGGCATGGCTCAGCATGGCAAGGCACTGGTGTGACGTCAGGGGTGGCACTGGTGGCAGGGACGGAGCAGTGAGTCACCCCCCCTCGTGCCTCCCTCCACCCCTGGACTTTGTCTCCTGTGGATGCTCGGGGCAATAAAACCCAGGCTCGGGGGGGGAATGGGGTGTTGGGGAGGGCACACAAGTGTGTTTGCACACACAGGCACAGGAATGCAGGGTGTGCAAGCACGAGTGTGCAAGAGAACCTGCACGGAACGTGCGAGGAGGAGCTGGGCCAGCACAGGGGCTGCGCGTGTAGGATGGGGTCACCCGTGGGATGGGGTCACACGTGTCCCTGCGGGTGCAAGAGGCAGGCACGTGTGTGCACAGGCAGGTGTGTGAGGGGGAGTTGCACACGCAGGAGGGACGTGGAGGTGGG